GTTTTGCACACACTGATAATGGGTGAGTGAAAGAGGTCTGTTGTAAAGTCTTAAGGGACTGGAGCGCCTTCATGAAACTTTAAAAACCAACCAATCAAAGCTCCCTTCCAGGACCAAGCCTAGATATCTCAGAAAACAACTATATTTTCGAACACAATATGAAAGCAACAAGAGGGAGTTTTAGAGTGTGAGGTTAGAATAGCTGTTCTAGGCCAAGCCTCCTTCTAAAAGTTCAGGAAAATGAATTTCATTTCGATATCAGCAATATGAAATGATTGTTAAATCTCATAAAAGTTTTTTAAGAAAATGAGCCTTGGAATAGCATCCTTTCTAAAGACAGTGAAAGCACACTGGAAAGATGTGCCCGTAAAATAGATGAAAACCATTTGATACTAAGACAAAAGCCATTATAGTCAGAACAAGGCATTTTCAAAAAAGCAAGTTTGCATAAAAAAAGAAAAACTAGGTGGTAGAACTTAGTAAAGTATTAGAAATGAAGGAAAATTTATTTTATAAATGAAGACAAATTAGAAAGAACACAAGAGCAAATGAACATAACAGAAAATACCTTAAGAGAGAAGGATGTTGAAAAGGAGAAAGACGTTAAAAATAAAAAGGATACAAAAGAGGTGTAAAAAGAATTTGATAGAAAATGATATTGAAAACAGGCAAAGAAGATCCAGTATATGTACAATAGGAGTCCCCAGTGAAGTAAAAACCATAGCAAGGGAATAGAGCAGATACTAAAAATTACGGTTTAACTGAATTAAAAACAGATTTGGCGGGGCCAGCCCGCTGTCGCAGCGGTTAAGTGCGCGTGCTCCACTTCGGTGGCCCGGGGTTCGCAGGTTCGGATCCCGGGTGCACACCAATGCACCACTTGTCAAGCCATGCCTTGGCGGTGTCCTATATAAAGTAGAGGAAGATGGGCACGGATGTTAGCACAGGACCAATCTTCCTCGGCAAAAAAGAGGAGGATTGGCAACAGATGTTAGCTCAGGGCTGCTCTTTCTCACACACACAAAAAAGCAAAACAGATTTGGAACTCCGTTTTGAAAGAGCACAGCACATATGTGAGAACACTGACACAGACCAGTACTGAGACGTGGTCTAGTAAAATTATTGGACTTCAAAGGAAAAATAAAAATCTTTCAGACATGCAGCAAAAGTCACAGTCTCTTATAAGGAAAACCAGATTATTACACTTTTCAACAGTAACAATTTGTAAGAGAAGACATTCTTATTATGAGAGAAGACATAATTTATTATGGAATTCCATATTTAAGATACTCAAGAAAGTTTAAGCCCAAGATTTTGTATATAACCAAACTGATTTTCAAGTATAAAAGTCACAAACTATTATCTGTATGCTAGAACTTGAAGAGTATTGTTCCCATTAGCCCTTCCAGAGGAATCCGCTAGAGAAGAAGCTTCAGAGACTCAAAATGACTAGAGACATTAACATAAGGACTGATGGTTAGCATTACATACACATACTTGCAGAACCAAGACTAAATGGAGGATAAAGAAAGAGCAAGTATCGTCTATAAAGAGGTGGGAAGGAGAATGGAGGGATCAAATGCAAAACATTTTAAAAACTATTTTTGGTAATCATATTGGTGGTGATAGTATTGGTATCATCTGGAGACTCTGTGTGTAATGTGAAATAAAAAGCAAATGAGTGTGTGTTATTCTAATTCTGTCATGAACTGTATCCTTGAGAACCATGATTCTTGTTATAGAAGAAATAAGATAGAAATGACTCAGATTGGGGGATGTATGTGTGTGTATAGGCAGAGCAGGGCAAGTGTTGATAACGAGATAGAGAAGTAACTTAAATATTTAACTCCAGGAGTTTTTAAAAAGAAGAATAGATAAATAACCCCCCTTCCCCAGAAAAAAACACCAGGTAGAAGAAATTAACAGTATTAAAAAAAAAATTACAAAATGAAATCAGTAAAATACAGATTTGACCAATAAGATCAATTTAAAAGTCAATTGGAAAATTTGGTTAGGAAAAAGACATAAAGACAAAATATTGGAAATAAGAAATATGAACAATTTCTAAGAATATTATAAGTAATTATGCCTATAAATTTGAAAATCCAGGAGAATTGGTTGATTTTTTTTTTTTTTTCCCTGAGGAAGATTCACCCTGAGCAAACATCTGTTGCCAATCTTCCTCTTTTTTCTTGAGGAAGATTCGCCCCGAGCTAACATCTGTGCCAATATTCCTGTTTTGTATGTGGGTGGCTGTCACAGCATGGCCACCAACGAGTGGCGTAGGTCCATGCCTAGGGACTGAACTTGGGCCTCCAAAGTGGAGAGCACTGAACTTAACCACTAGGCCATGGAGCTGACCATTTGGGTGATTTTTTTTTTTTTTTGTGAGGAAGATTGGCCCTGGGCTAACATCCGTGCCCATCTTTCTCTACTTATATGGGACGCTGCTACAGCATGGCCTGACAAGCAGTGCATCGGTGCGTGCCGGGATCTGAACCTGGGAACCCCGGGCTGCCGAAGCAGAGCGCGCGAACTTAACTGCTGTGCCACAGGGCCAGCCCGGGATGGTTTTTTTTATGGACAGTTTTTATCAAACACATAAAGAACAGTAAATTTCCATGTTGTTTAAATTATTTCAGAGTACAGAAAAGAAAAGCACCCCATTTTACTTTGAGAGGGACCTGGATGCCAAAACCTAGCAACACAAGATGTGCCACATAATCTTCAATTTGACCTCCACTCAACATTCCTGTTCTCTATCATGAGGGACCTTTCTGGACAACATGAATGGGCCTCTAAGTCCTCTGGCTTCTGATTGGATTTGGAAGTGGGGAGCCCTGGCAGGAAATGGAGAAAGGAGGAGACTAAAGTCTGGGTATTAATTCCCCTGGCTCGTTCCCTGTATGTATGTGCCTTGGGCTGGTTCTCCCTCTTCTAAAAGTCCTAGCCCTTCCTTCAGGGCCTATGCGTTATAAGAACTTCTCTGTTACTCTGGGTTATTGCATTGTGCCTTGTGACTCCTCTAAGCCTCAGCCACAGCTTTGTTAAAAAAAAAAAAAATTCACTTGTAAATAAACCCTCCTTAAATTAACCTAACTTGAGTGGGCCATCTGCTTCCTCTAGACCTTTTTTTTTTTATTTTTTTTAAATTTTTTCCCCCAAAGCCCCAGTAGATAGTTGTATGTCATAGCTGCACAGCCTTCTAGTTGCTGTATGTGGGATGCGGCCTCATCGTGGCCGGAGAAGCGGTGCGTCGCTGTGCGCCCAGGATCCAAACCCGGGCCGCCAGCAGTGGAGTGCGCACACTTAACCGCTAAGCCACGGGGCCAGCCCGCCTCTAGACCTTTTTTGATATTTGTTGAGGATTTTTGCATTTGTAGAAAATATGAAATTAAAAGATGTACTAGTTTTGACTACTAAGAAAAAACAGTATGGAAAAAATATTCTGTACAGAAAAATATATTAATTACAAAGATAAGATAACCGGCAAATTTATAAACATTTAAAATGTATAATAGACACCAAGGATTTATATATTATTTGATTATCTACCATTTATTAGTATTGTATCTATGTTAAATTTCCTGAGTGTAATCGTGATTATGTAGAAGAATGCCCTTGTTCTTAGAGATATACCACAATATTTAGGCATGAAGTGTCATGATATATATAACTAAGAAAAAGTGTGTGTGTGTTGGGGGCGTGGTGCAGCGGTTAAGTGTGCATGCTCCACTTCCCTGGCCTGGGGTTCCCCGGTTCGGAACCCTGGGGGCACACCAACGCACCGCTTGTCAAGCCATGCTGTGGTGGCATCCCATATGAAGTAGGGGAAGATGGGCACGGATGTTAGCCCAGGGCCAATCTTCCTCAGCAAAAAGAGGAAGATTGGCATTGGATGTTAGCTCAGGCCTAATCTTCCTCACAAAGAAAAAAAAAAGTGTGTGTGTGTGTAAGAAGAGACAAAGCAGATGTGTCAAAATGTTAATAATTGGTGTATCTTTGTTAAGGTGTATGGTATTCACTGTTAATTTTCTCGCAGCTTTTTGTGGCTTTGAAATTTTCAGAATAAAAAGTTGGGGGAAAATATTCAGAACAATAAAAAATGAAATATTTATATGGATAAAGAGCTTTATAAACTAATAAGCAACATATAAAATGCCAACATTTGAACAAGCAAATCACTGAAGGAAAAAATACAGAAAGCCCTTAAAATAAGCTTGACTTGAATAGTAAAGGAATGCAAATTTAAATGAGTTGTCAGTGTTCATCTATCTAAGTAGCAGATTGAACAGAATGATAATGACTAATGCTGATGGAGATGCAGCAGACTGGGTGGGAAGTACAGCTTGGTGCCTGCCATCTTCTGGTGTGCAGTCTGGCAGTATCTGTGAATGCTTAAAATCTGTATGCTCTTTAATCACAGCAATTTCATTTCATGAACTAAATCTAATGAAGTAATAGGATACGTAAGTAAGGTTCTATGTACAAAGCATGTTCATTGCAGCATTGTTAACAGCAAAAACCATTTAAATGTCCATCAGTTGGGGTTTGGTTTTACACACAGAATACTATTTAACTATTAAACACAGAAGTTAATATATTAATATGGAATGATATCCCTGATTGTTACATTAAAAATAAAAGCAAATTAGAGAAAAATCCATAAAGTACTACCCCATTTAAAGTAAAGTATCTACATATTATAGGCATAATTTTATGTATACCAATATTGTATAGATTTTGAAAACCTAGTTGAAAGAGTATCAAAAAAGGAAGGGAAATTATCGGGGAATGGGATGTTTATATTCTCTTTTTGGGTTTTTTTATTTTAAAGAAATAAAGATCATAAAATAGAAAATGTCAACTAAACTCATGTCTTGGCAATAATTTTTTCTTTAAAATAATTTCTTTTTATGCTGCTTTGTTAGTATAGTCTTACTGAGTTACAGAAAAATCTGTTAAGAAACTCATTTTGCTCTTGTATATTCTGTTTTCAGAGCAGTGGAAAGAGCTCAGTGCTAGAAAGCCTAGTGGGGAGGGACCTGCTTCCCAGAGGCACTGGTATTGTCACCCGGAGACCTCTCATTCTGCAGCTAGTCCATGTTTCACCCGAAGATAAACGAAAAACAACAGGAGAAGAAAATGGTAAATTTTAGAATTGGAATAAGAATTATTTTAAAACTCTTCATTTTTGTCAAATATTTAAAATATATGAATTGATTAGATAGTTAGAAATTAGTGGCTGTAGCAAAATCAGAAGTCCTGTGAAGAGAAGTGGTATGCATCTTTTCTCATGTAAAAAAGTAATTTTTGTTATTTTGAGGCCCACAAGTAAACTTGTTTGGAATAGTATCTTTTTGGTAATGCGGCTTGGTAAACTGTTAATGCTATTTAATGGAGGATCTAGTGAGATACTCAGTAAACAGGAATCATTTATTTTAAAGAAAAAGTCTTTCTGTCTTTTGGAGTGTTTTAAACTCTTTTTCTAATGTTTAAAACAATGTTTTTGCTTTTTTACTTGGATTTAGAATTTAAATAATTTAGATTCTAGTTTAAAGATTTTATGTTAAATAAAATTAAAACGACTTTGCTTTTCAGTATAGCAATGTTATCTTGCCTTCCTTTTTCTGGTCTTACCATCTGCCTGTTAATTTTGACTCTTTTGCCCTTCTCTCTAAAATGAATATTATTTTTAGAAAGAGTTTTGATTTTTTAATTATTTTTTTACTATCCTTCTCTTGCTAAGGTTTACCTATATAGCACATACTATCTTGATTTTTAAGATCCTGGCCTCCCCCGAATAGCAAATGTGGAGTATTAAGATTGGAGAATATGTACCGTCCTTTATAGCAGTTCTTCTTTGATTAAACTGAAAATATTTTAAGAAGTGTTGTCTATGTCTATGAGCAGATTTTAAATTGCTTATTAAATATGTATCCTATATTAATCATATATTTATATTAGTTAGGTTTGAAATGTTTGATGAGAATATAATCTTCCCTTTTAGTTCAGTGTTTGGCTCAGAATTTCTGTCTTATTTATAAAAGCCTGTAAAATAGCTCTAATTATTAAATTAAATTTGCAGCAGAGTTCATGTTTGTTTCTTATCTGCAGAGATCTGTTTTAAATGTAGTTTCATTCTACTTCTATTATTCGGACCTAAGATAGGATGATAATATGGAGGAAATTGAAGTTAATTTCTGTATCTGATTTTTTTCTTCACTTATTATAGGAGCATTGGTGGTGATAGCTTGATTTTTTTTTTTTAAAGGAGAACAAAAAAACCTTTCATGAGCATCTACTGTGACTATAGATAGTTAATCACTGATGCAAATTAATGAAGTTGTAGAAGTTAATAAGGAATACTTTTGTATAGACTGCCAGAGGATAGGTAGGAGCCTTTTACTTAAGTTAGGTAGCTTGGTATATTCATCACTTTGTATTTCTGTAATATTTCTTTATTATTGAAATTCTGAACCTTGAGTTTAATCATTTTGAACTAACCTATGGTCCAGCTTCAAATGTATAGAATAACACTTAAAATTTCATTCTTACTAACTTAATTTCATCAAGTTTACCAAATACCTTAAACTAAGACTTTAAGAAACTGTATGGCATTAATTAGGTCTCTCTCCTTTAACTTTTCATTTTCTTCAGTCACCTTGAAAAGGGCAGATGATATCCTGTATCTCAGAAACTATTTGTAGATGTGGGCATTGTTTCTAGAAAAGGGTGTACATTTCAGCCCTAGAAGTGTGGGTTCTTTGGTATCTCTTTGCTTGTGTGTCCACTGTCTTGTTGATGTCTCTTCTTGGTGGTTGGTCAGAAAATTTGCATATCTTTACCTCTCTCTATATATTTTTTCCAGCTTAGTGCTTATTTTTTATATAAAAAACATAAAAATTCACTTAAAATGACAACTCAGCTACCCAGAACACAAAACAGATTTCATAAATTTTGAGTACTGAATTTCACGTGTCTCAAATAGTTCTTTAGTTTCTCACAGAGCCTCTTTATCCTCGGGATAAACACTTCTACCTTGTCATAAGTCATTCTAACCCAGAGGAAATTAGAATAATGAAGCAGATAAACATTTAGTTAGCCAGAAGAGTAGGAACTACTTGACAGCCTGACATCCAGAGAGGAGAAAGGGAGGAAAACATAACCAGACAGAAAAATTTCAAAAAAAAGAAAAAAATCAGTCTCTAATCATTTTGTATAGGGATTTATAGCCTCAGAGGGCTCTGTTATATAACAAAGGCCTAAGTTACCAATAATAGGTTCATTTAAGAGCAGTGTATTCTAAGATGACATGGAGCAGTATAATCCATTTTAAATAATAGGTCCATCCAAACTGGCTAAAATAAAATATTTTAATATTTAATGTATATAGTTTAATTATCAGGAAAATTTACTTAATGTGGGATCCTTCATTCTGCCAACTATATAGGATAATTGAGGTGTGAATATATAGATTTATAGTATTTCTCAGCTTGCCCCCCACTTCTGTCCTGTAAAAGAGTTTTCTGATAAAATCTTTTTTTTTTTTTTTTGTGAGGAGGATCGGCCCTGAGCTAACATCTGCCAATCCTCCTCTTTTTGCTGAGGAAGACTGGCCCTGGGCTAACATCCATGCCCATCTTCCTCCACTTTATATGGGACGCCGCCACAGCATGGCTTGCCAAGCGGTGCGTCCGTCGGTGCACGCCCGGGATCCGAACCGGTGAATCCCGGGCTGCTGCAGCGGACGGCCCGCACTTAACTGCTTGTGCCACGGGGCCGGCCCCTGATAAAATCTTACTAAAAACAAAATCAGACTGTTTTAGAGTGGGATGGGGTTTTAGTTTGAACTTTGAACTCCGTGATTATCTTTTATATATTTGTAAGAAATAAATCAAGCTTTCCTCAGATTTCCTTTTAGACGAGATCCAAAAGTAGCATGCTGATTAAAGACCAACTTGTTTCTGTTGTGTTCTGTTAAATTCAATATATATTTTAAAGAAAATAATCCCTTATAAAGCTCAATTTTAGTGAATAGGGTAAATGCTTAATATTTACTTACTCATAAGATTTTGAAAGAAGTTTGGTATGTTTTGTAGATTCTTTTTTACCAGGCAATTGATCTTTTCCCATAGTCATATCTAAGGCAAATTTTTGAATAGTGAATTAATTTTAATCCATTTGTGTTAGAATTAGAAACCAGAGGTGACATAATTAATTGCAATTGAAAATAAAAATAAATTATGGCACACAATATGCTTGATTTATCACTTAAAATATTATATACTTCTATACTTCCCTCTGATTGTAATAAATTGTATTGGAAATTATATAGTTATAAATTTTGAGTAATTTAATGCTAGTTATAAATTTTGAGTAATTTAATGCTATGTGCATTTGAAATGTGTTGAGGTTTCTGCACATCTGAGTTTTTAAAAAGGTTTAAAGGGGCCGACCCCGTGGCTTTTCGGTTAAGTGCGCACACTCTGCTACTGGCTGCCCGGGTTCGGATTCCGGGTGCGCACCGACACATGGCTTCTCTGGCCATGCTGAGGCGGCCTGCCACATACAGCAATAGAAGGATGTGCAACTATGACATGCCACTATCTACTGGGGCTTTGGGGGAAAAAAAACAAAGGTTTAAAATATTAGGGGTAAGCACTAAACTTATCATTCTGTGCTATTTCTCTTTAACTACAGACCCTGCTACATGGAAAAACTCAAGACACCTTTCTAAAGGTTTCCTTTATCCATTGTTTTTGGCCCTTTTTCTATTATGCCTGCATGTGTGCTTATGTACTCTTACAGGCTGTGTGCATTTTTTTTCTTCCATTTTTATTTGCCTATCCACATTGATTGTAGGTTGTAATGGTTCTTGTTACCTTTTGGCATTGCATCAGAATGCAGGCTTTTTTGGGGGTGAATGTAATTTATTTTATTTTTATTTTTAAAAACATGCTTGTGAAGCCAGGCCTCTTTTATATGATAAGGTAAATTAAACATACCCCTTTAGTATGTAGTACCTGCCTCCGTGAGTTCTGTTCACCTAGATTACTGCAGTCCTCCAATGAGACTTCTTGGAAGAAGGTACTAAGCTTCAAGTAGGTGAGCATTTTACTTGCAAAAAGGATCCAGTTTTATTTACCTTTATTCCACCAAAGAATTGATGCACTTTTTCCTCAATAAATATTTATTCGAATACTTTACAGTCCTTTTTATTTTGATTTCAGGTGGCTGATATGCATTATTCATAAACTCAATCATTAAGACATTTAAAACTCTGAATTTGGCAAAAGCTGAACAGCTGTGCTTAGGGGAGGCAAAGTTAGGTTACTTTTCTACAATTAAACATTTCTAGCTTCTCTGGGAAAAACAGAACAAAACTTGCTTTCCACGTTTTAGACCACTTAAAACAGTGTCTACAGTGAATGTATTTTCCTTTTTTGGGCAAGTGCAGGAAGAACAAACCTATTATTGGAAACTAATGGAGAGTAGTGACTCCATATAGTACATATGCCAGGGTCTATCCCCCCACCCCATTTCATTTCTTTCCAACCTTTAGTTCAAAATATAGTCTTGGTCCTGGGGAAAAAAATTACCTTGAAAGTGCATATAAATTACAGAATAGCTTCACACTACTGAGAGAGCTCTTTAAAGGAACAACCAATTGTGACTTTATGGGTAACCAAAAGGAAACCAAATTAGGGGAAAAAAAGGATTGAAAAGTCGGCTGTTTTATTCACATATTGCAGATTTTTACCTTGATTTATGTGTATAAATCTATTATATATGCTTTTTGCATTACTCAGTAGGATTCTTAATTTTTCTTCTTTTTGCCATTAGCTTAATTGCATACTTTCATCAGATAATCTGCTTTTATGTGTAAGATATTTAAAAATAAGGAATAAACTTTTTAACATATATAATTACATACAAAATATGAACACAAGTGAACAATTGTATTAGTAAAATCTAGATTTCAATGGTGGGAAGACCTGTGAGCAACTCTGATCTGAAGTTAGTCATGTTTTTGAAATAACATGATACCATTTTTAAAATGTGAAAGTATAATTTAGCAAATCTTAAAATATTTAACTTGAGTTAATGGCAAAATAGGAACAAATAATATTGTGTTGCCTTTTTGAATTCCTACCTAAAGATAAAAAGTAATTTCCATAGTTTCCAATAAATGGAGTTTTTCTTTTTTCCAGGGGTTGAAGCAGAAGAATGGGGTAAATTCCTTCACACCAAAAATAAGGTAACCACACAAGAATATTATGAAGAAGTAACGTGTTGAAAATTTTTTTGTACAAGTAGTTGATAATTTAGTTTCTCATCATTGGCAATGTGGCATGTTATCTTGAAGCAACTGTTCCTTGTAAAATAAATCTTATGTTAGTAACGTTTCTAATCACAGCAGTTTATTTGGAAAACGCTTTAAGTTCAGCCCTATTCTCTCCAATTTGGAGATTAATGTTGTGAGATCAGGCAGCTTTGAAATATAAATTATGAAATTTATATAAAATATGAAAAAATTCATATAAAATATGAAATTATAAATTATGACTCCTTGGCTCAGAAAAATATATGTATATATTAGAATTTGTTTACTAATTCTCTGAAGCAGATCCATAGACATCCTTGAAATTTATCGACCCCTCACTTAAGAATTTTTGATTTTTGTTTCAATAATTTTTAGCTTTACACGGATTTTGATGAAATTCGACAAGAAATTGAAAATGAAACAGAAAGGATTTCAGGAAATAATAAGGTAGGCATCTTTTTAGAGCTGGAAAGTATAAACAGCAAATATATCATTGAGAGTATTCTCTATATAATGTGTGATTGTAAATTCATAATCCTGGTCTTTGAAACTAATGGAGTATTTTCACAAATATATAAAAACTTTACTGACAATCCCTTTTGTTTCTTAGAGCTTTTATGTACTATCAAATATTTCATTTAGATGCTTATTCTTGATCTTGTGATGTACATTCCACTTTATTATATAATTCTCTTTAATTCTGCTACAATAGGTTATCTTTTTCTGAAGGATTGATTTACTGTAACTCAAGAAGCGTCATATAATGTATGTGATACATGTATTTTGATAAGTTCTTTTTCTTACCTGAGTAAGGCTAGATTTGCTTATGAAAGTAGAGAGAGAGAAATTAGTTTTTTTCCCAGAGAAAATGAAAAGTAATGTTAACAACTGAATTATTTTCTTGTTTTCTAAGATTGTGAGAATTTAAAATAAGTTGGGTGTCTAAGATACCATTAATCTTGACACCAGGCACTATCAGTGCTACCTCCCTTAAATGCTTCTGTTTTCTCACTCTTCTCTCTCTATTCCTATTGCCTTTCTCTCTGTTCCCTTTCTTCTTGTTTTTACCTTCCTTCTTGTATTATCCAGAGGCGCATTTAATCCCGCAAGTTGGCCCTAGCCGAGTACCAATATTCAAACATATTTACTGAGCCCTTTTATCTGTCAGATACTGTGCTAGAGAGGTTACTTCCTGACAAAAAGACATTTTTGGATTTTGGAGCCATGTTAGTTCTTTATGTCTCTTCAGGATACTTGTCTCTGTTTTAGTGATTGACTAAGCTTTATTCATTATTGAACTCTAGGCTGGTAACCTTTGGGTTACTGCTGCTGCTGCCATGTTACTGCTACTACTTCCCTGAATTTCTAGTAATTGTGTTGTATAGAAGAGGTAGAAAAAGTGGCAGGAGCTAGATTAGCTTGTTGTCACTCCAGTAATTATATCTGGGATAATTTTGAGTTTTGGAACGTTATTAATCATAACACCAGTCTGAATTCTCTCTCCTGCTATCCCCATGGATTTACTGACCTCAGTAATTGTTGTAATTTTACATAGTACTAGAATTTAGAGAGGATGTGACTGGTGAATCAGAAAGGAGAGTTTTTAATTTAGACATTAAACTGAATGTCATGAAAGATTGAGGCTGTATACCTAGAAGATGTTTAATTTATGGTGGGAATATGATTTACTTACTTAGCAGGTTTTCTCATCCACAGTGTCTAAAAGATGAGAAGTCCCCTATCCCCAAATCTATGAAAAATCTCTTCTTTACTAAATCATGTTTGTAATGAAGTAAATGATACTTTGATCTTATGTAAGTAATTTTGTGTGGTCTAAATATCTAAATGATTTCATATGCCTAACATAAAGCCTTGAAGGATTTAAAATATCTGTGAGATTGGAGTTGTAAAGGCATTTGGGCAAAGCTTTGTAGTGGGCATGATAAGGGAATGCGTAAGAAATATACAACCTAGATAGGTAGGCCGAATATCAACATATAATGACTTTGGAACACTGGAGTATTGAAAATAGAAAAGTAACTCAGAGTAATCTTAATATAGCAAATGTAACTGTATAGAGAACTCAGAGTAAAGAATGTTCCACAAAAGCTTTCTGGGAAATTAGAATTTTCAGTGGGTTAATGAAGAAAGATATACAGTGGATAAATAGATGAGAGGACTTTTTAAATGATAAAGAAGGGGATGTACAAAGACAAGTTATGAACATATTATAAGTGTTTTTTTACATGTAGCTGACTCAACTCGAAAACTTGTAGAGGGCCAGTGGTGAAGAGGAGGGAGTCTGTGTAATAATCTTAGTCTAGGGGAGAGAAAATATAGCTCTCTCTCACTATACAAATTCTTCCTATTTGAATTCAGGGATCAGAAGATTCAGATAAATTTTCTGAGGAATCTCTTACAATATACTCTTGCCACTTGGTATTCAAAGATTAGGAACCAAATTGATTTGGATAACTTGTTATCTATGCCTTACTCTCTAAACTTAAGAACCTCATAAATTTGGATAGTGAGGAATACATTAATCTTTTGTTCAGCACTAAGTCTATTAAACATATTTAAGAAATGGTATCTGCTTAGAATCAAGAGAAAAGAATGTGAAATCATACAGAGGAGATAAATTGTTTATATTAATGGTATAGAGTTGGATAGGATTATAACCAGTTATGTGGTTGGCTGCGTAACTTCCCATGTGTATCATCAGGTTTTGATTGTTGAAATGTTTTAGGGATCATGGTTTAATTTGTATTTAAAAGCATCTAATGTCTATCTACTTGAAATTAGGTTTATATAAATATAAAATTAGCATTTTATATTTCATTGAAACTTTAATATGATTTTAATATATTTTAAAACTTATTTTTAGGGAGTAAGCCCTGAACCAATTCATCTTAAGATTTTTTCACCCAATGTTGTCAATCTGACACTTGTGGATTTGCCAGGAATGACCAAGGTAAACAATAGTTGTTACTCATTATGGATTTGGTCATGTTTGTTTTCACTTAAACAGATGTGGTTTTTCCTTACCCTATATGAGAATAATCAGCTTTTTTTGCAGTTAACTTGATCTGTTAGCATTTGATGTAGTTGAGTCCTCCTTTCTCCTTGAAACACTTGCTTTACTTGCTTCCAGGATACCACACTCTACAGGCTTATCTCCAATCTCACTGGTTACTCCTTCTCAGTCTCTTTTGCTGGTTTCTTCTCATCTTTCCAATGTCTAAACAGTGAGTGCCCCAGAGCTGAGTGTTTGGAGTTCTTGTCAAGGGAGTACACTTACCCCCTTGATGATTTCCTCCAATCTTATGACTTTAAATACATGAGTGTCTGTATGCTGACAGCATTCAGATAACTCTAGATTTGAATATCCAGCTGTCTACTTTATACATACACTTAAATGTCTAATAGGCATTTCAAACTTGATGTGTCTAATACCAGATTCCTGACCTGTCCCTCAACCTGACTTGATCCTTCTATAGTCTCCCCCATCTCAATAAATGGCAGCTCTGTTCTACCAGTTGCTTAGCCTAAAGGTTTGTAGTCATCCTTGAGACTTCTTATCCTATGTCCTAATTCCTCTGTCAGCAAATCCTCTTGGTTCTCCTTACCTTTAAAATATATCCAGAACTCCTCTATCATGTCTTACAAATTCATAGCTACCATCCTGATGTATCATCTCATCTGTTTTATCATCATCTCACCTGGATTACTGCAGTAGGCTCCTAACAGGTCTTCCTCATAATCTGTTCTTAACTAAGCACTCAGAGTGATGCTGTTAAAGTGAATATTAGATTGTGTCATTCCTTGGTTTAAAATCTCTCCAGAGGCTTCTTGTTTCACTCAGAGGAAAAGCTTAAGTTCTTAAAGAGATGTAAAGCATGTACTTGATCTGTCCCTATTACTCTCCTGTTAACTCCTCCTGCTCCAGCCTTCTGCCTTTATTGTTCATTCTCCTGGAATGCGCTTCCCTCAGATTTATGCATGTACCTCTCTCTTATTTCTTTCAGTTTCTGGTCATTCTCTCAAATGTCATTATCTGAGTAAGGTCTTCCCTGATTACTCTGTTTAAAAGCATAATCCAATTAAAAATAATAATTTAAAAGCACAGCCTTCTCTAATTATCTCATAGCCTCCTATTCTGCTTTATTTTTTCCGTAGCCCTGCCATCACCTAGATATTGTATAATGTATTTGTTTATTATCTGCTCTCATCACTAAAATGTAAGCTCTCTAAAGGTAGGAATTTCAATCTTTTTTTATCCACTCCTGTGACATAATCTGGCATGTAGAACAGCGCCTGAAATATAGTAGGCTTCTAATAAATATTTGCTAATGGATGAATGAATGAATATGTCTCTAGGCAATTAACATTGACCAGTTCTTGACATGGTAAACCTACGATATTTGCAAGAGTTACATTTTGAGACTTTCACATGTTACCAAATTCATAAATACCACTGTAATATATAATTTCTTCATTTTAACTATCTGTAAATGGAATGATACCTATGTTCTGTGGATTAAATGGGAGAGAAAAAGCTGAGTTGGTTTTTATTAGTGGTTCCTTGCTCATCTCTGTTTGGTTTAGGTGCCTGTAGGTGATCAACCTAAGGATATTGAGCTTCAAATTAGAGAGCTCATTCTTCGGTTCATCAGTAACCCGAATTCCATCATCCTTGCTGTCACTGCTGCTAATACAGATATGGCAACATCAGAGGCACTTAAAATTTCAAGAGAGGTAGATCCAGATGGTAAGGACAGATGTTAATATTTAATGAGATGCTCGGTTAACAATGGTAAACCTACCTTCAAGAAAGGAATTTTTCTTTTAAAAGTAATATCTCTAGTTGTTAATACAGATTTAAAAAATAATGCTTTATTCTATTTTGCTTATAATTTCAAATAGAAATTCTGATGGGAAATAAAGTTTTAACGGATAAGTTGCTGTACAGGCTAGGTAAAAATACTTCACATAGTGTCCATATTTGTAATGGTTACCTAATGATTTAAAATAAAATGGCTTTGCAAAAAATTTGTGTAAGTAAAATGATGTAGGTTTTTGAATGGCTGAATAAATAACTCTCAGAGTAGAAAAATCACTGTAGATTTTTATGATATAGCAGATAAATATGGTATCTGCATTCTGCAGAGGCAGAAAATATTTAAACATGCTCAAGGCAGAGGGGATTCTTAGAAATAAGGGTAAAATCCTTTTATGAAGCATTCATAACCCTGTCCTGACCCATATATGGGTCATTGTATGATACTTGACTAAGGCTGGAATGTGCATCTCTTAGTATATATAAAACGCCAGCTTGTAGGAGAGTGGTTATTATTGCGCTAATAAAGGTATGCTTTGCTCCATACAGGAGCCAGTTTTTTTTCCTGAGTATTTGGAGGGTCTGTGGGCTGTGTCATGTTTCTGTTTTCCCTCTTTGACTAAGAATTTCAAATAAATTGGATAGGAAATGTTAGTGCTAAGACTTGTAATTAAAATTCCCATAAACAAGGTCAATTTTTAAAATATTTTTATTTCAAGTTTTTTTTTTTGTGAGGAAGATCAGCCCTGAGCTAACATCCATGCCAATCCTCCTCTTTTTGCTGAGGAAGACTGGCCCTAAGCTAACATCTGTTGCCAATCCTCCTCCTTTTTTTCCCTTTTTCTCCCCAAAGCCCCAGTAGATAGTTGTATGTCATAGCAGCTGCACATCCTTCTAGTTGCTGTATGTGGGATGCCGCCTCAGCGTGGCCTGACAAGCGGTGTGTCCCCAGGACCCAAACCCTAGTCGCCAGTAGCGGAGCCCATGCACTTAACCACTAAGCCACGGGGCCGGCCCTGTATTTCAAGTTTTTAAGAAACTTTTTTACTTTATGAGTAATTAACATTCATTTCAGTTAGATTAAAAGATAAGCTATATCAAAAGGTTTATTTAAATTTTATTTTTACTATTTAAACTGTTAAACATTTTATTTTAAATTGACCCTTGAGCCATAACTATAATCATGCTTTTGATCTAGTAATCTTAATCTAGTAATACATCGTAAGGAAATAATCTAATCCAGTATTATTTATAGTATCAAAAAATTAGAATCAACTTAATATGGCCCACAGTAGGAATACTTAAGTAAATTAAGATAATAATAGAATATGAAATCATTAAAAAGGATGATTTTGTAGATTTGGAACACTATAGAAAAATGCTTATAATTAAAAAATGTCACATGTAAAATTGGACACTATGCAGGGCAGCTGGGACTGTTACACATTGCTGGTGGGAATGGTACAGTCATTTTGGGAAACAGTTTGGCAGTTTCTTAAAAAGTTATATCAGTAATCCCACTTCTAGATATTTACCCATGTTAAATAAAAACCTATGTTCATATAAAAACCTGTATGCAAATGTCTATAGTAGCTTTATTCATCATCTTCTAAAACTGGAAACAACTCAGATGTTTCTCAAATGGGGAATGAATAAGCAAATTATAGTATATCCATACCATGGAACACTACTCAGCAATAAAAAGGAATGAACTATTGATACATGCAACAACATGTATGACTGTCAAATGCATTATGCCAGCTGAAAGAAGCCAGGCTGAAAAGGCTATGTATATGATTCCATTTATATAACGTTCTGGAAAAGGCAAAGCTGGGAATGGAAAATGGGTTTGATTGGGTAGTACAAGGAAATTTTGGGGGTAATGGAACTGTTCTGTCTTGAGGTGGTAGTGACATAACTCTTTGCATTTGTCAAAACTCATAGAACTGTACACAAAAAAAGTAAATTTTAAACAAATTTTAAAAATGCTTATAAAAAAGTTAGGCCAAAGAGCTAATAAAAAATTGTGTGAAAAGTATAAAAAATTGTATACGATGATTAAAATTAGTTTTTAAAAAGTATTTGTAAGCAAAGATTAGAAAAGCATTTCCAAAATGATGACAGAGATAATGTTAGGTGGGATTATAGATGAGGATTTTCCTTAATTAATACTTAATGGCTTTATTCAATAACTAATTTTCTTTTCTTTTTTGCATTTATCAGGTCGCAGAACCCTAGCTGTAATCACTAAACTTGATCTCATGGACGCAGGTACTGATGCCATGGATGTATTGATGGGCAGGGTTATACCAGTCAAACTCGGAATAATTGGAGTAGTTAACAGGTTAGTAATTAAGAATGGGATAAGAATTCAGCATTCTCATTTCAAAGCAAATCTGAGTTTTAAAAATCAATCTGAAATGTGATAGTGTCCTATTTTTTCCCCTTTTGCTAATCTTGGTATTGCTAAAGAATTCATTGCTCTAACGGGAGAAAAGAAATTCACTAAAGTCTCCTGTAGACATTTTTAGTGAAAAATGTTTCTAGAGTAAACGGTACCACAAAATGGAAGATAAATTAGTAGCCAGGCTTTAAAAATTCCTGCTTGTTATGTTATGTATGAAGAGGGCACTGGATAAGAAAAAATATTATTTAATTTGCACCCAATCAAGAAAAAGAGTTTCTTAAAGTGGTAGGATTTTAATAGATTGGTTTAGTCTCTAGCGTTAGTGATTCTATGTAATTGCCAGGATATGACTTGGAGAAATTTTATTAAAGGTATCCTAGTTATAAACAGCTGGTATTAAATATTATGGAAAGGAAACTAACTAAGGAAACTAAGGGGGGCTGGCCCCCCACAGTGTGGGTTTAAATGACACCTAACATCTTTGGGTCTCAGACCTTTTAAAAATGAAAATGATTTTACTAAATGATTTCTAAGATCCATTCCAGTTGTCTGCTTCTATTCATATGTCTTTCTACCTCATCCCTATTAAGACTTAAAAAAAAAAAAAATTCTCATTATCTCCCTTTTCAGGCAAGTGGGTGGTATAAAACTGTTGTATTTGTAGATGACTGCTCTTCAAGTTAACTTAATTATTTTTTGGTAGAAATTAGTTGCCTGTCCATGGATAAATATACAGGTTGATTAAGACACACTTATGGGCCCGCCCTGTGGCTCAGCAGTTGGGTGCTCGCGCTCTGCTGCTGGCGGCCCGGGTTTGGATCCCGGGTGCGCACCAACGCACTGCTTGTCCGGCCATGCTGAGGCGACGTCCCATATACAGCAACTAGAAGGATGTGCAACTATGACATACAACTATGTACTGGGGCTTTGGGGAGAAAAAGGGGAAAAAAAGGAGGAGGATTGGCGATAGATGTTAGCTCAGGGCTGGTCTTCCTCAGCAAAAAAGAGGAGGATTGGCATGGATGTTAGCTCAGGGCTGATCTTTCTCACAAAAAAAAAAAAAAAAAAAAGATATTTTTTCACCTATCCCTGTTACTTAAGAGTACTGCTTTTGACTATAGTTAATGGTCATAATGAGGCCTAAACGATTCCGGCATACTTACTTATAAGTCATAGTTTGATTCTTGGCTGAGCTGCTCAATATGCGACCTTGTGTTAAGTTTAATCTCCCTGAGCCTCAGTTCCTTCGCTACAAATGGGATAAAACCTATCACATGAAATTATCGTGAGAATTAAATAAAACAGTTCACGGTCAGGCACTAGGAACAATGAATGCCTGGTGCTAACATCATTACCATCATCACCACCACCACCACCGTCATCACTATCATCACGTTCATCACCACCATCATCCAAGGTATGTAGAGGATCACAATTGACTTGACTTGAATAGTTTTGTTACTTTTCAACTTTAGGAGCCAGCTAGATATTAACAATAAGAAGTGTGTAACTGATTCAATCCGTGATGAATATGCTTTCCTTCAAAAGAAATATCCATCTCTGGCCAATAGAAATGGAACAAAGTATCTTGCTAGGACTCTAAACAGGTAACATTTTTTACCTCTTGGAAAATGAGATATTTTTGGTTTTTCAGTAGGTGTCTAAGACCATTCATTTCCAGTTAATTACATTTTCATAATGTTCTTGTATGTACAGTTTCACTTTTGCTTTGTTGTCTGGTAAGGTCTTGTGCAGTAGAGACATATGTAGATGTCTCTTATTTTTATTGGGGTGGTTGGCATTAAATCATCATGTAGTCTAGGAATGCTCAAGTAAATTTTAAAATGTTTTAATTACGAAATTCTTGATAGTCAATTTACTTTTGAGGATAGAACTAGATAGCAGATGACTTTGTTTCCGCTTTGGATTTCAGGAACTGAATTAAAACTTAAAAATTTCACATAATCTATTCTTAATTTAGGATGTCTTCTATTCCTATTCATAAAAACAATTGAAGCTGTGTACCTTGAATTCTGAATGCACTTATGGTAGAGGGACTGGAAGACCTTTCTAGGTGATTTATAAATGACTGCAGTGAATGCTGTTTTCTCTTGTTTTTGTCTTATTCCCTAAATAAATTAAAGGCTGATGGACTTGGATCTTAATAAGATTGATTTTCACTGTTCTAAGTACCCATTGTAGAAGATAAGTCAGAAACCAAAATTAGGTAGAATTGGATTGAATAGCTTATTTTCTTTGAGGTAGTTGCAATAATATAAAAAAATATATTTTTCATTTTATATTTGGTTCTCAGCAGTTGCTACAATTTGATGGGTTAAAATTTAAAAAGCATCGACCAAGACGGCTTCCTTCATGCCACTGTTTTTCAGACTATTACCTCTAGTCTAAGACTGCATTATTTTCTGCAAAGACAAATTATTCGACAGGTTTCCCCATTATTTGTGTTTTTAAAATTTGACCTGTTTGGGTCTTAAATACACAAGTTTACTTTAAAATCCTTCCTTTCTAACTTTTGTCAGGTTACTGATGCATCACATCCGAGACTGCTTACCAGAACTGAAAACAAGAATAAATGTTCTAGCTGCTCAGTATCAGTCTCTTCTAAATAGCTATGGTGAACCTGTGGATGATAAAAGTGCTACTTTACTCCAGCTTATTACCAAATTTGCCACAGAATATTGTAACACTATTGAAGGAACTGCAAAGTATATCGAAACTTCTGAGCTGTAAGTAAGAAATTTCTCTGTGGATATGGTTACCTGGATGGCTAGGTCACTTTTTCTTCTGTTCAAGTGACTTTAATTCTGAGATTATCTGATTGTGATTGTGATTAATTATCTATAACAGGAATATCACTTTATAGAAATTGTAGAATGATGTCTGATATGTGTGTCAAAATGCTTATAAACTATGTAAAGTAAAAATTTCAGGATTGTTTTTTTAGTAAGACTTTGATAAGCATTTTTAAATACTTTATAATTTAAATTTTTAAATATTTCTTTAATACACACAGTATAATTGTTAATGAAAAAATTAAGAAAATGCAAGTAAAAAGAAAAAAATATAAGAACAAAATAACTCTTAATTCCATCATCCAGAGATAATCCCTGCTAATTTTGGCATTAACCTAGACATTTTTCAGTGCATCTGTAAAACATTATAAATGCTTATATTACACATCTTTAAAAATAAGATGCTATACATGCTATTTTGGAATCATTTCTTTAAATCAACATGTTACAACTAATATTAATTATACATTTATAGTATCAATCTTAAGATTTACATAGTATTTTAATTTTTAGATATACCCTCATTTGTTGAACCAGTCCCCTACTATAAATAGTTTGTTTTCAGTTATACACAAATATAAACAATGTTGTGATGGACTATCTTGGGGACATGTATCCAAGTAAACCCTTAGGATAAATTCCTAGGTAATTACTAGGTCAAAGGGTATAATATCCTCAAAGTCTCTTATTATTGCCATACTATTAGTAGATTGTATTGTTTTACTATTAGCAATATATAAGAATGTCCAGTTCTCTACACTCTCACTTTTAAAAGTCTTTAATTTTGAAATAATTATAGACTCTCAGGAAGTTACGAATAAATGTATATAGGGAGGTCCCATTCACCCTTCACCCCACGTCTCCCGATGTTGACATCTTGCATAACTATAGTATAATAACAAAACAAGAAAATGGACATGAGTACAATTCATAGAGCTTTTCAGATTTCACCAATTACACATGCACTTGTGTGTGTGTGTGTGTGTGTGTGTAGTTTTATGTACCTTGTGTGACCCAGGTGGCCTTTTATATGAGTTAACTCCATAAAGAGATAGACTATTTAACAGACTAGTCATTGAATGGTTATTATATTATAATTCATATATAATATGAATTAAGGAAATTAAGATTACTAAAATGAGCCTTTAAAGAGTTTAGTAGGTAAGGTAGGTCAAGGTAACATGAGGCTTGATTAGGTGGGAAAAAGGGTATAATCAAGTATTTTTATTTAAATACTTATTAAATATAATATAAAGTAGGTCAAGGTAACATGAGGCTTGATTAGGTGGCAAAAAGGGTATAATCAAGTATTTTTATTTAAATACTTATTAAATATAATACAAATCCAGAAAAGTGCATATAACATATCTATATAGTTTTATAAGTAGTTAGTAAAGCAAATATCTGTGTAATTACCTAATCAAGCCTTTAGAACATTGAAGAGAGACTGTTTACCTTCCTTTCAGGGATTGGGAGAGCTCCATAGTTAAGAATGCATTTGGGTTGGGCTCTGAATAGAATTTGAGAAGGCAGTAAGGAGAAGCATGTTTTAGGCTTTTGAACAACCAAGAATAATGAAGGGTGTATTTGGAGAATGGTATGTGGTGATGGGACATAACAGGATGGTAAGGCAGAAAGGCATCTAAGAACAAGACTGTGGCAAGTCAAATATCTTCAGAATTTGGAGAACTATAGAAAATAAAACACTTATAGTCAGAGGAGTAACCTGTCAGAGGAGTAACCTGTTTTAAAAGGATATCTCTTGTCATTATGGAAAAATACTTGGAGAAGAGAAAGGTTGGAGGCAGACCAGTTACTGGTGATTTTTAAGCGTACAATTAAGCGTGGCATTAATTATATTCACAATATTGTACAACATTCACATAGTATCTATTTCCAAAATTTTTTCATCACCCCACAGAAACTGCATCCATTAAGCAGTAACTCCCTGTTCCCCCCTCCCCCAGCCCCTGGTAACCTCTAATTTACTTTCTGTCTCTACGGATTTGCCTATTCTAGATATTTCATATAAGGGGAATCATACAGTATTTTTCCTTTTGTGTCTTGGCTTATTTCACTTAGCATAATGTTAGGCTAGTACCTTCTGCCTAGACTACTGTAAGAAAGTAGTGAAGAGTGGGGGTGAAAACAGAGGAAGGGATGCTTTGGGGAGATGTAAAGGTGTTTGCAGAATTCAGCTGGACTTGAATCAAAAAATAAGAGATAATACCAGGATTTCTAGTCATTAACATAGTAAACATAAGGTATTCAATACCTAGGCCCAGAGATTTAATTTGTCTGAAGCAGGAGTAGGCAAACTATAGCCCATTCACTAAGAATGATTTTTACATTTTTAAATGGCTGAAAAAAATTCAAAGACTATTTTGTGATGTGAAAATTATACAAAATTCAAATTATAGTGTGTATGTTTTATTGGAACACGGCTATGCTTATTTGTTTACATGTTGTCTGTGGCTGCTTTCGTGCTCAATGGCAGAGGTGAGTAATTGTGACAGAGATTGTGTGGCCTGAAAAGTCTAAAATATTTACTATCTAGCCCTTTACAGAAAAAGTTTGCCGACCTCTACTCTAGATTGTGAATAAACAGAAATAAATAAGACACTGTTTCTTGTCCTTGGTGAGCTCATAGTCTAGTTGAAGACAACTAGGGCAAAGAAGTTGAGTAGTTAACTGATGTTTTCTGACAGAACAGTTTATATACACACAAGTATACATGAATGCTTTTCATGGACTGACTCCTTTCCCTATTAAAAAAAAAAATCAGAGAAACTGGTTCACAATGGAATTGAGAACAATGGAAATGGGAATGGTCTAAATGTAATTGTTTATCTGAGGCTTTCTCAGAAAATGAGACAAACTTGAAGCTTATAGAAAGACTTCTAACTCTTGGTTTCTTTCCTTTTTAGTAACACTAGAAACAATATACTTCATTGCCTTTCAGATGCGGTGGTGCTAGAATATGTTATATTTTCCATGAGACTTTTGGGCGAACCTTAGAATCTGTTGACCCACTAGGTGGCCTTAATACTATTGACATTTTGACTGCCATTAGAAATGCTACTGTGAGTATGTTTAACTTTTAGAATTTTCTGAAATGAAGTTAAAGCTTTATTTATTTTTTTAGCCCATATAACCATAATATTGTATCTTTTTTTTAATGAATTGTACAGTCTTATTTTGCTCTCATACTTGAAATTAAGAAGCACTTTTCATGAAAAATACCAAAAATGTGATTTATTTTAACTTTTGGGAAAAACTAAAATCATATGTAGCTAAAATAAAAGCTCAAAATTTTGTTTTTTTCAGGGTCCTCGTCCTGCTTTGTTTGTGCCTGAAGTTTCATTTGAGTTACTGGTCAAGCGGCAAATCAAACGTCTGGAAGAGCCCAGCCTCCGCTGTGTGGAACTGGTTCATGAGGAAATGCAAAGGATCATTCAGCACTGTAGCAATTATAGTACCCAGGTAACTGAGAAATGGAACAGGCCTCAGATTAAGTAGTAAAAGACACGAGGTAGCAGGAAATATAAGATGGGCTAAAAGTTAAAATCTTCAGTTCCCTTATCTAAAAGTGATTTGAAATAGTATGCTTAAATGTAGCTTCTAAATCTAATTCAGTATTTCAGTGATTATTTAATTTTCCTTTAAACAAAATAAACTGATATGTTTCCCTTTCTTCCATCATATATATATAGGAATTGCTGAGGTTTCCTAAACTTCATGATGCCATAGTTGAAGTAGTGACTTGTCTTCTTCGTAAACGGTTGCCTGTCACAAATGAAATGGTGAGCTATTATTTCACAAATTATCAATGTTATCACAATTAGTAAAAGTTTTCTTGTACAGCATTATGCCTAAACTTCAGGCATAGCGTTCCCCAGTGTATTGGGAAGAAAAAGGAGTGAGTTTCAGTCTCATTTCAAAGGAAACCTTTCAATAATTCTGGTATAAAGTGCATTTTTCTTCATATTTTAATCATTGTTAGCCTGCACCAAAGGTTTTCATGAGAATGGAGTTACTGTTGAGCAGTGTGACTAGCTTTGCTCTATTATGTAGCACCATTGATCTAATGGAGAAGTAGTTCTATCTTTAGCCTCAGTAAACTGGGCCTTTATATAGCAAGCTCTTATTTAAACAATGAAGTACATCACGGTAATTTGGCCACTTCTACAGTTTGCTTGTTTGATGTCCTAATACTATGATGTCATAGTTGTTTGCTACTATTTTGTGGGTTGCTGCTATCCTTAAAAATAAAAATGCTGAAATTGGCCAAAAAATGAGATAAGCATTTAAAATTGCTCTTATGCCTCTAATTATTGGCTGGGTATTTTTTTTTTTCCTTTCTGGTCACTAAAAGTGCATTTGGGTCCTTGGCTCTGGATGGTGAGCCCCAGTGGAGGTTTACTAAGAGTATAAAACCATCCGTGGAAGTATACAGTATAAGCGCTGCTGCTCTCTTGTTTACCTAGCAGGAGCAACCCCGAGATTGAGATGAGTAAGAACATAGCCTGATCTTAGACTCTACCCACTGATAATCACAGAATCGTTAGAATGTCATTTGAATAGATCTTTTTCACCTGGTTCTGGAGAAATTAATTTCAACTTTCCTTTTTGATTTATCGTCCCATTAGGATTTTGAAACACATATAATATTTAAACTAGGTGCTTCATAATTAAGGCTAATCAATCATTACCTCAGGTCTTTATTTTTTATTGAGATAGAATAGATATATGACATTATATTAGTTTCAGGTGGACAACATAATGATGCAATATCTGCATATCTTGTGAAATGATCACCACAATAAGTCTAGTTAACATCCATCATCGCACATAGTTACGAATTTTTTTTTTCTTTTTATCTTGTGATGAGAACTTTTAAGATCTACTCCCTCAGGTCTTTAAATGTATCCTTTACCCAAATAAAGTTAACATCTTTAACTTATATCTGATTATGAAATGTTTTCTTATTGTTGAAACTGAACTAAAACTTTGACATGGAATAGTGGATAATCTGAGGTTTTAATAGTAAAGTTGCATAAAGCCTTGGAACTTTGCATCAGGGAGATAACTTTTTTTTTCCCCCTAACAATAAAATACTTCTAACTACCTTAATGTCATTTTTCTCCCCTTAGAAATGCAATCTTAGATGCTGAAATGTAAATAACTCAAAAGACAGAGCAAATTATTATTTGGCATAAGATTTGTCAGTTGGAATATAATTATTGAGTATTTATTTAGGCATCAGTTTTCTCTACTTTTTTAGAATTGTCTTTTTAATAAGTTTTATATGTATTTCTCAAAGTAAAATTAGGTTGACACATTTTTGTATAGCCCAATTTTATTTCTTTTCTAGGTCCATAATTTAGTGGCAATTGAATTGGCTTATATCAACACAAAACATCCAGACTTTGCTGATGCTTGTGGGCTAATGAACAATAATATAGAGGTAAATACAATTCGAGTTGTCTTGTATAAGCAAGAGAAAATCTGTTGTAACTTAGTTATATTCAACTTAATTGAGAATGGGATAACTGTAAGACATACCTGCACCATATTATTGTCTGTTATATTCCAGGAAGTATGCTGAGGGCATGACGTTTTCTTTTTACTTTTTTTTGAGGAAGATCAGCCCTGAGCTAATATCTATGCTAATCCTCCTCTTTTTTTGCTGAGGAAGACCGGCTCTGAGCTAACATCTATTGCCAATCCTCCTCCTTTTTTTTTTTTTCCCCAAAGCCCCAGTAGATAGTTGTATGTCATAGTTGCACATCCTTATAGTTGCTGTATGTGGGACGCGGCCTCAGCATGGCCGCAGAAGCGGTGCGTTGGTGCGCGCCCGGGATCCAAACCCGGGCAGCCAGTAGCGGAGTGTGCGCAATTAACCGCTAAGCCACCGGGCCGGCCCAGGCATGACGTTTTCTTAAATTTAATTCTCAGAACCATCTGGAGGCATTATTTTCATTTTCTGCTTATGAAGTGGAAACTCAGAGAGGATCTGGGATTCCTTGATTGAATGCTGAAGGACTGCCTGGCTCCATTTCAGTAACTGTTGTTGCAGTTTATTCAGGTTGAAATGTGTAAAATAAAGTGAAATGTTTAAAATTGTTTTCATTTGACTCTGAAAGCTGTAAAGGAAACATTCTAAGAACTATCTAAACTACTACAAATTTGGAAAAGAGTATTCTTTTCACCACTACTGGGGTGGCTGCATTTCATGGATCTTTTTTTTCCATTTGAGGTTAATGTCACAATTTGCGTAAGATCTCAGATGGAGCCAAGACTGGTGGATAGAGCAATTTATCTGGATGCTATTTTTTCCTCTGCCATTTTCATCCAAGAACAGTAAATTTTTCTACTACTCCTTAATCCAGTAAGACCTCAGAGTCTTCTATATCAAATTTCCTCTTTTGCATATGGGTGGAGAGAAAAAGTAAACATGGAAGGGACCCTGGGTTATCGACTTCAACCCTATGGTTAAACAGATGAGGAACCTGAGGCCCACAGATGACAACAGCTATTACTTTAGTGCTAACTTTGCTGGGCACTGTTAGAGGAAACAAGCACCTTCTCTTTAACAGGTACAGGGAACTATTGTTAGCTACATAGCTGAGGTGACTCTTGTTATCAGAAAAAATTCCAAAATGCACACGAGTAAGGCACTTTAAAACAGAAAGTAGACTAGATAACAGTTATGTTATAAAATAGTATATAGACACTTTCTTAGAATAAGGATTTTAGTTCCTGTAACAATGAAACCAACTTTATGGAAAATTTGTGCCTGGGACAGTTTTTGTAATACTGACAAGGTCTTTCATGATATGGTTTCAGATCAGTATTCTTCTACAAATGAATGTGTCTCTGGTTTTAATGACCCTGTGCTAAAGAACTTTATGTGGATATTCTCATTTAATCTTTACAGTAACCCCATGAGGGTAGATAATGTTAAGCAACTAGGAAACCGAGGCTTTAGAGTTGGTAACCTGTCCAGTTAACAAAGCAAGTAAACCAGGTCTGTTGGGCTCCAGGGCCAGCTAAGGTCCTAACTGGTTGGTAACAGACTAGGGTGAGAATTTCTGTTCTCCACATTCCCGCTTTTTGCTTTGTGTTCCTCTTCAAAATGTACATTTTAACATGTTAACTTGTTATTCTGAAGATTATTAAAATCCATATGTTTTAATCATCTGCTATATTTTTTTTACCCCTGGCTTACCTCCCGTGAAAAAATGAAAATAGGTCAAATTTCTGTCAAAAAAAAATTTCTTATCCATAAAACATCATTGTGAAGCTGTGTTAACTTATACCTTTTTGCAAGTTTGAGGGTGTTCATGAAGTGCTTTCCACTTAGGAGTGATTTTGACTTTAACCTAAATGCTTTTCTATGGTATTTGGTGCTGCCTGTAAGAGAGCCATTGTTAACCCCTACATCCTTTTATATTTCCATAGTCTTCCACCTATTATGGTGCTTGACACATAGTAGGTGTGCAGTACCTGTTGATGGAATTTAGCACAGTCACTTCTAGCTTAGTACCAGAGTTACTTTGATTATATTAGCAAATTAGAAGAGTGGGCAGTTGATCAGTCTGTTAAACTAGCCAAGTTATAGAAAGGACTATCAGTTTTAAACTCTACATTTATTTCCTGGAGATGGTTTAGAATAAAGAAAACGGAACATTCTTACAAGATAACCTTCACCACAGATATTTCTCAAAGTTATAGTTTTGTGTATGGGAATTGTGGGAATTTAACAAAAAGCTTTGCAGGTTAGAGTGAGTTTTAAAGGCTCTGCTCAAGTTTCTATGATCTGTGCCTTTCAGATTCTACATGGTGTGCTGAAGGCTTATGTTCCACATTTACGTGGGGACAGTTTAAATCAATGATTCTTGACTTAGGGGGAAAGGGAGAGATGTCAATCCATTGCCCCTCATTTGAGAATCCCTGGTGAAGGGAACCGCTGTTACTGATGTTGTATTGTATCCCTCAGGTGCGTTGGGGCAGAAAATAAGATTGAGAAGCATTGGGTTAAATGATTTGTTTTAAAATATAATTATGGCATGAGTCCCAGCAGTGAGAGAACATACTGTAAGTTATTCCACACTTTTCAGTTAACCTGAACTTTGTTGTTGTTGTTGTTGAGGGAGATTGGCCCTGAGCTAACATCCATTGCCAGTCTTCTCTTTTTGCTTGAGGAAGATGGTCCCTGAGCTAACATCTGTGCCAGTCTTCCTCTATTTTTTTGTATATGGGACACTGCTACAGCATGGCTGGACGAGTGGTGCGTAGGTCCACACCTGGGATCTGAACCGGTGAACCCCAGGCCGCTGAAGCGGAGCACAAAAACCCAACCACTACGCCACCGGGCCTGCCCCTAGCCTGAACATATTTTAGTAGGCTTATATCTCAATGCTCTGATGATCATTTTTGTTTTGCTTGGTTGTGTTTTATAGGAACAAAGGAGAAACAGGCTAGCAAGAGAATTACCTTCAGCTGTATCACGAGACAAGGTAAAAAAACGTTTTTAAAGCATATTCCCAATACGCAAAGATGGATTGGTAAGCCTCTGAATATTAGTCAGTTTTAGGAGTAATTTTTTCTTCTCCCTTTAATGCTCCATTGGAACTATTTCATTCTTTGAGTAAAGGTATGCAAGTTTAAAATAGGCTTTGAGTAATTTAAAGATAATAGTATTTTGAATACATTGGAATAAATGCTTAAAGGTGGCTTTTTTAAGCATCAAGTCTTTTTGTAAAATTAGTTGAAATCACTAATGACTTCTTTATAACAAGGTTTTCCGAGAAGTTAGACAACAATATGCATATAACAGGTTTTAGTTACCTGTAATACCTATAATAATAGCTGCATATTATAATGTTTGTGTGTATAAAAATCTGTTACCTTGAATTCTTTACCAGAAAAGATCTTATCAAATTCCAAAAATAAAAATGAAGTTTTTGGATGTAGATTTTTCTCAGGCATTCATCTGAAGAAAGCCTTTAACAACAGTACAGGAAATAAGGCGGAATAAACATTATGTCCCATGATTACTTTTGTTTTTCATGTTATTTTACTATTTTGATACAGAGGAGGAAAATTCACATTTATAGAATGTTTCTGAATACATTTTTGGCATCCTTGATTTTTTTTCCCTGCATTTTTTGCCTTTAGTCTTCTAAAGTTCCAAGTGCTTTGGCACCTGCCTCCCAGGAGCCCTCCCCTGCTGCTTCTGCTGAGGCTGATGGCAAGGTCTGTTCTGATTCTTCGTCTAAGCCTGCATGCCTAGTTGTCTGGTGCAACATTATCTTCTTGAAACAGTACACCAAATAGCAGAATATTAATAAGGGATATTGTGCAAAGGTCAGATTATTTCAGTCTAATAGAAATTTTAAATTATGTAAGTTTACTTCATAAATTATTGTTGACATGCTTTTGCTTGCAATATAGAAGATGCACGTAGAAAACATAATTTAAACAGGAAATTATCATGCACATTTTGAATTTCAAGACATATTGGTATTTAAATTGTGCTTGTTAAAATGCATGTTTTAACGTATCTTTTAACAGTTAATTCAGGACAGCAGAAGAGAAACTAAAAATGTGAGTCTCTTGCTTCAGACTGGACATGTTGTTACCTTTGGTTCTCACTAAAACACTGTCTTCAAAACCAGTGAAGAACATCTTTGTACACTGGCATCTCTTGTCTGTGTTATGTTTTTAATGTTCCTCTTATCTAACTAACCCTTCTAAGATGGCATTAATTCTAGTTTTAACATTGTTTTAATAATAAGAATAGGCTTTCCCCCTGTTTCCTATTCAAGAATAGTTCTGAATTTAATATTTTGGTAGGGAATAAAGATTCCAAAGATGGAAATTGTACTTTTGGACATTTCCCCTTTAAAGGTTCTGAGATCTGCCCAGTACTGTTACATAATCCTCATGCTTCTTTCTTATGCTTCCATTTAGTTTGCACTTGTCACCCTAAATATATAGCTTAACATGTGCCTCAACAGCTTAAGCAGATTCAAAACAAACGGGGGGACTGTGCGAGTTTGAGACTGTTGTCTTTTTTTTTTTTTTTTTTTTTCTTCTTCTTCTTCTTCTTCTTCTTTTTTTTTTTTTTTTTTTGTGAGGAAGCCGAGCTCTGAGCTAATATCTGATGCCAATCCTCCTCTTTTTTTTTTTGCTGAGGAAGACTGGCCCTGGCTAACATCCATGCCCATCTTCCTCTACTTTATATGGGACGCTGCCCCAGCATGGCTTAAAAAGTGGTGCGTCGGTGCACACCTGGGATCCGAACCTGTGAACCCTGGGCCACTGAAGTGGAGCATGCGCACTTAACTGCTGGGCCAGTCCCTGTTGTCAATTCTTGATAACCTTTTTAGGGGTAAATTAACTAAGAATGGGACTAAATAATTTAGATTATTTCTAGTTTTTCTACCATTTAGCTCCTTTTTTTACTTATCATCCAGATTTAAGGTTCTGAACTGCAAATAAAACCTTATAAATGTCTTATCTTCTCTCAGCCCACTGCGCTCAGATCTTAAGAGAACCATCTAAATCACTGCTTAAGTTTTATTTCACTCATGGCATCACTGTGAATTTGCTTACTTTCCTTAAGATTTCATTTGATGTATCATTTGTGTATAATTAATGGGCATTTAAAAAATATAATTACTCATTTAAAAATTAACATAATATAAATATACAGCCTATATTTAAATATAGCTCACCTTAACTAACATATTAGAGGCAGGTTTTGGCTAGCGTTTTGATTCAGAATGATACCAAAAACTGATGTTTTTCTAACAATTGCCCAACAGTCTTCTGTTAAATTTATATAAGCCATTTTTATTTCTATCTATAAATTTTGGATGTCATCTTGTCTCCATGTTAGAGCGTTAAGATCTTAAAAGAGCATCTAAAAACATCTCTTAAATATTGATGAATTACTGTTTTTCCCATTATCTTAAACAGTCATTTTTTCTTTTAGAAATCAAGACTAAGATATCCTAGAAAAGAAGGGTAGTACAAAAGCACTTGTGCTTAATGTAGCACTAGATTTCTTTCAGCAGACCCTCTCTCAAGAGTATAGACATTGAGGGAACTTTTGTTTATGTCATTCCACATTTTAGGCAGCTTAAAGTCACTATCAGCCTAAGAATTGTTAATGTAGTCTTGTTTCTTTTATATTGAATAGCTTCTGCTTTTGTCCTATGGTCTTTCTGTTGACTTTTAGGAAGGTAAACTGACTTGAGAAATATATAAACTCAAGTTTTGGAGACATGAGATCAAGTTAGCAGTGTTTAAGGTTACTTTGAAGAAATTAAGCTGAATGGCAGTTCTGTTTTTCCTTGTGTTTTTAATGAGCAGTCTTGTTTTTAAGGGCAGCTTATTCCCACAATCTAGTGTTAGAAGGGTTGGAGAAGAGGATAAATTTTGAAAAGTTAGCAAATGATAAAGAACAAAGGAGTTAAATAGGACCTAAACTGGCTGAGCCCTTGCAAACAACTTACAACAGAACCTCTTATTTAGACAGCTCAGGGTTCCAGTTACACATGCCACCCACCATCTCTTCTGACCTTATTGTCTGAATAGATTAAACTCCAGATGGGTACTGGATGTGTGTTCTCTTTGACTGCTGTAAAGGAAATGAACCCTGTTTAGTTAATGTCAGATTGGACATGGTTGATACAGGTTTCGGAACATTTGTTTTTTTCAGGTTGCATCTGGAGGTGGGGGGGTTGGAGATGGTGTTCAAGAACCAACAACAGGCAACTGGAGAGGAATGCTGAAAACTTCAAAAGCTGAAGAGTTATTAGCGGAGGAAAAATCCAAACCAATTCCAGTTATGCCAGCCAGTCCACAAAAAGGCCATGCTGTGAATTTGCTGGATGTGGTAAGCCATGAGAATCTGGCTAATAAAACAACCAAATTAGTAGGAAAACACTTCAAAAGACAAAAGGAACTAAAAGTCTCAAAAACTTCTATAACTTTTGAATGTTAACATGTTGCCATTTCAAAATGGCATAAAAGTAATATTTTTTCCCTCTTAATCCCATTTAGCCGGTTCCTGTTGCACGAAAACTATCTGCCCGTGAACAGAGAGATTGTGAAGTTATTGAACGACTTATCAAATCATATTTTCTTATTGTCAGGAAGAATATTCAAGACAGGTTAGTATGACGTAATATAAACCATAGATTATAATACTGCTAATGATTCCATAATCTGTTTTGAAAATACATGTATTTTAAACATTTTAGGTTTTTATTCTAAATCAAATGGATTATCTGATTGTTTTGTTTTGCAGTGTGCCAAAAGCAGTAATGCATTTTTTGGTTAATCATGTGAAAGATACTCTTCAGAGTGAGTTAGTAGGACAGCTGTATAAATCATCGTTATTGGATGATCTTCTGACTGAATCTGAGGACATGGCACAGCGCAGGAAAGAAGCAGCTGATATGCTAAAGGTATTGTGAATTTTTTTGAATTAGGTTTTAGATATAAACATTTATTGTTTAAAATGCATTCTGATCCTTGGAGAGAGAGATATATAGTCTTCATATGATGGCTAATCTTTTTTTCTATTGGTACCTGATTAGATTCAAATTCCAGAGAAGATACTGGTTAGTATAAAATCTACCACATATAAAGTGGAGAGATTCCACATAATTCATATTCTTTGATATCTATCATAACTTAATAAGCATTTATAATTTTATCTTTTTTAATGCAGGCATTACAAGGAGCCAGTCAAATTATTGCTGAAATCCGAGAGACTCATCTTTGGTGAAGAGAACTGTTTAATACTGAGACTTTGTTGACTCGAAACTTGCTAGTTACTGCCTACTTGAGTAGAATTTTATTTATGAACTCCTGTGTATTGCAATGGTATGAATCTGCTCATGTGAAGACTGGCTATAAACTGAAAATTGTACTCTGTATTACAGAACAAATCACACCTTTAATCCAAATAATAAATGGCTGTTTCTAAAGTTTCCCAGTATATATAAAATACATCGTCTGTCTTGTGACAGTTTCATTTGAATTTAAAAAGACCTGTTAACGTTCTAGTTGTAAAAGCAGTTTGCCTGTGGATAAGATGACCTGTGTAATCTGTTAGTAATCTTAAAGCCGCTGCCATAGTCCTTCAAGAACGCACCAAGACGACATTTCATACGACTATAATGCATGCACTGTATAAACCAATCTGGCTTTGAAAGATGTGGGTTGACAAGTTACTCACATAGTCACTGTATTCCACCTGTCCTTTGATTTAGTTTTATTGAGCTTCTCTGCAACTTTTGACATGTTAGTAAGAAAACTGAACACACAAGAGGATCAGTAACATTGACAGTGATGCAGTGTGCATGATGTGTAGCTACACAACCCTTCCATTTCTGGGCCCACGTTGCCCGAGTGCATTAAAAATTAAATATCTTTGATTTTTACTTAAATCTGGAAGCATAAGTTATGTTTTCCTGTATTAAAAACAACCATCTAGGCTTGAATATCTAGTAAGACCAGTTCCTTTTTAGTTTTTAGAGTTCTAATAAATTCCCGTTGGTTTCCAAATATAATAGTAGTTACTCAGATCCATCTTTAAATTAGGGCACTTACACCATGCTCCAAGATTCACTTGGAGGTGGGACTTAAAAAACCAAATACTATGTTAATCATTGAAGTGTATCTTCTCTCTATAAGTATTAGTTGGTAATAAGTTACTGTTGAGTCACACAAACACCAACAAAATACATTAGAATAGAGGTATAAGAATACTGGTGGAGCCTTATTATTTAAATAAGAAAAACATCTGGACATACACCCCTAAAGGCTTACAGACTACTAAATTGCATTCATGGGGTAGGAGTGACGTTTAGGACATATATATGTTTTATTAAAATCCCCTAGGTGATTGCTGAATATGAATTGTATTATAAATTGTAAGATATGGATCGAAATCCTTAAGGCCTCTAGCTCCATCTCTAACATAACATGTTAAGTAAATTATATATTGCAGATATTAAAATTTCTTTTTAGTTGTGACATTTATGAAGGACTATTGGCAGGGACAAGATGAATACGTCTGTTAACTTTTGCTTATGGTACCCATTTACTAAGAAACAATAGGCTCAGCAACTGATCTCCAACATAAAAAACCAGGTTCAATATGCTATCATATGGTACTACTTTGAATCTGTCAGTACCATCTTGACAGAATATATGCTACCGAAATGTTTGTTAGCACACTGTAAAATCACTCTGCCATCATTAAACATCAGTTTTGAACTTATAGCCATCCATATTTACTTATTTCAGCTAGATCAGATGACTAGCATTCTACCCTTCTGAATTTGTAAGGGAGGAAAAAAAACCTTATAATTAAAGCACTTTCTCCAGCATATCAAACAGATTTCAAATTGAAAATGTTTTAAAGTAATGCACTTGCTAGTACTACACACCTTGTACAGAGAAAAACAGAGGCAAGAAAGGTATGGACAGAGAAAACCTTCCTTTGTTGGTCCTCAAATTGAAGTTCTGAAATGTAGAGATGATCTCTGACATATACCTGTATGTTCTTGCTATGTAAATAAAATTGCTGATATGAAATGACATACAAGTTTGTCAATAAATGAATTCTTCCTAACTTTACTCCCAGAGAAAGGCTTATAACTATAGCTTTTTAACATATAAATCTACTTTGGAACATAACAATACAGCTTATACTGTATGAATTTTTAGGATTTTTTTCCTATTCTCTCAATTCACTGAGGTATTGTCACATCTCCATTTCTGCATATGAAGACAATGACCCACTTCAAGTAATTCAGGTAGTGAATGGCTAGAATTTGACCACCAAAGGAAGCCATGCTTTGCTGCCTGTTAAGGTCTTCCAGAAGAAATCTGATTTTGAACCATTTTGTGTTTGTGTGTGTCATTTGATCCTCAGGGAAAGAAGGGTGCTGTTTATTACCTTGATTTTTCAGATGTGGAAACAATTCTGGAGAATTAACTTGTCTAATGTATGCAAAGCTTAACTAAGTCTTGCTTCCGTATCCTTTAAACTTAACCTGAAAACTTCCCTCACCTGAATATCTTTTGATATTCTCATATGATTGGATATTTGGTATAATATTTGCCTCTATTTTCTCTCTTTGGTTACTTAACTTTTCAGTTTATCTCAAGTTGCAATCTGCTTGGGGACAGAAGTTGAAACTTAAAACTAATATAAAAGTTTCCAAATTTATAAAATATTGCTACTTTAGTAATCTGACAAAACAAGGGTTTAAATTTAATTATACTGCAACACAGGCAAGGGACTGGAAAACTGAATTAGAAACTTTCTGAAAAGTCAAGTACTGATTTTTGTTCTTTGCTTTGAAAAGAAACTATTTCTACTGTGATTTCTAATGCCAACTATGGCTTCATCTAACTTTTCTCCTTTTTAAGAACTATATTTCCTTCCTAAACAACAAAGAAATCAGAAATTTATAAGTTTCCAATACTAGATTTCCCATTTCTAATGTGGACACTAGGGGCATTGCTGGTTTTAGAATGATGATATAAAATACTAGTGAGATCAGTGAGAGAGAGATAACTGATATAAAAGTACAGTAGTCCCCTTTATCCAGGGGGATATGTTCCAAGATCCCCAGTGGATGCCTGAAACGGCAGATAGTACTGAACCTTACTATCCGCAACTCCTTACACACCAGTTTTGTAGACTGTGCCAAGTCATCTGTTTGTCGTTCCTCCTCATCCCCAAAAAGGAAAGCAAGAAAAGTAGGATAGGAATGACACCATTTAGTTTTTTCAGGAAGTAAATTTTTTTTTTTTGGTGAGGAAGATTAGCCCTGAGCTAACATCCAATGCCAATCCTCCTCTTTTTGCTGAGGAAGATTGGCCCTGGGCTAACATCCGTGCCCATCTTCTTCTACTTTATATGGGATGCCACCACAGCACGGCTTGACAAGCGGTGCATCAGTTGGCACCTGGGATCCGAACCTACAAACCCCAGGCCGCCAAAGCAAGCGCGCACACTTAACTGCTACACCACTGGGCTGGTCCCTAAGTAAAATGTTTGAGAGATGATTAACCCGGGAAATCATGGTTTTCTATGTCAGTCCTTAATGTTTGTGGATCAGAAAATATCCCATCATTACATAAACAACTTATTTATTGACTAACCTATATAAATAATGAAATTACTCACACTGTGAGACCTAGAGTATACTCCATTCTCTGTTGTTGTGATTGGCATAAGTGAAGGCATAAGTCCAGGAGCCAGTCTTTCAAGTCTTGAGAATGATGGATAAGTTTGTTTGAATAAGCAGAAGGATTTTTCATCATAGCTGAAGCCATTTTATAATGTAGAAATTCCTTTTTCCTATTTTTAGTAACGAAAGTCCATTTTTAAGAATATGTTGTCCAACAACTAAAACGCTCTCAGGGTTTGTTACTTGTCTGTGATTTATGCTGACTCCGCCTTCTGTTATCATCCGATACCTAAAAATAGAAATGTTTAGTTAACTGCATAAATCCAGTCACTGTTGACCGCTCCCAATAATACAGATACATCATTATTTCATTTAAATCTCAGAGACTCTCCAATTGAAACCATATAGCACTAAACTGTTAGCTTCATCTTCACTCTACTAGATTCTAAAGGCATAACTTTAAGGCATAAATAGGATTCTTGTTTAGTGGAGAAAAACAGCTGGGATTTCTCAGCTCTTGACAGAACTATTCAGTTGGTAGTGGCTGAAAAATGAAGTGAACAGAAATAATGGAGGAGCACATTCAGAAGAGCTCCCCTAACCTTAAAAAAACAAAGAAAATCACAGAAAAGAAACTTCCAAAAATAAAAGGGAACAATGCTGCTTTTAATGAGCTACCCATGAGATACAAGTCACTAGAGTGTTATCTACAGAAATCTTGAGGAAACTTGCTTATGAAACGGGAAAATCCTTGCAAATTATATTCTGAGACTGCAAATAGCAATTTTTCTTTTTTTTTGGTAAAGGAAACAAAATTCGCTTAAAAATGAAATTGGCTGATTTGAGAAATGGAAACTCAGTAGCTGATCAAATAAATTCTAGATTACTAACAAAATGTTTTGATGGCCTCTGTAAAGAGGTTTCATTCAAGTTATCTGTCATCCAATTCATTCAGTAAATATCTACAGAGCCCTTACTATGTGCTAAATATAAGTAGTATTGCACACTCATGGAGAGATGCACACAAATGAACAATCACAACACACTGTAATTAAATGCTATAAAGAGCTACAAGAGGTTGCTCTAGGAGTACAGGGTGGGCGGGGGTTGGAAATTTTCCTGAAAAAGAGACCCTTACCTGACCAGGAGAGTTAGTAGCAGTGATTTTCACAAACAGGATGAGGAAACATGGGAGTAGCTAGAAAGAGGTGAGATCTGAGAAGGAAAGAGGGCTAGAGCATGACAGGCCTTGCAAGTCCTTATGAAAGGCAAATGTTAGTTTTCTCTTATCTGAATATGTTACTGAATGAAATTAAAAAACGACTACCACATGGTTTTATAAAACTCACAGGAAAAGATTTTCTATAAAAGGACAGATTTCTTTCTCTTAGGAAGTGTTATTTTAGGCTGTTTGCTATAGTTTCTGGATCATGTTCTACATTTTGTTTAAATGCACAAACCAACCTTATTTAGTTTATACTGTACAATCTAAAAAATGTCAGTATTACTTAGAACTCTGGCTAAATCAGATACGGTGTCATCTTAAGTAGTGGTAAAACTTCCAATATCAGTAAATAAACCATTAAAAAAGTTCATAAGAAAATGAAAACTGCTTCCAAAGTGAAAAAAATTTTTAGAACCAGTGACTCACTGTGGGGAACACCACCCTCACTTCAGTGTATAATAAATAAACTAGCATATTAGGGAATCAACAGGAGTAATCAAGGGCTCTTTAGGATAGAGGCAAATAATCCAAAACAATGGAAAGAAAACAGCAGCTATACTATAACAAACATCATTCATAATCATGAACATGGACTAATAACTCTGACTTTTGCTAGAACTCCTGCAGATGAGGTGCCCAGGGTCTTCTGGTTAACTAATGCTTTTCCTTCTGCATCACAGTGTCATTTATAAATGGATAAGCATCAAGTATATGCCAAATTACTTTTCTGAGGAACACCTTATTCCCTAGTGATGCCACATAATTGAGGAATTAAAGTATTCTACCCACTTCTTCAATTAAAAAAATGCAATTCTCAAGAGGAATAGTATGTCGTTTATAACAATAGTCTTATGAAGTTACATCATATGCTTATTTCATTTTCAGAAATTCAACTAATATTTTAAATAGGTTGGGCAACCCTTCTACTCCCCCATATAAAGAGGATACAGACTGAATATGAGAGGGGTCATGTGAATCTGCTCCCTTAGGGTCTCTGTTCTTGTGATCTTCTCAAATTGTGACCATCCCTGAGCTGATTGATCTCAGTGTATTTATTGAACATAGTCGTCCCTTAAATGTAAGCCTTTTCCAATGCTGGAGGAAAAACTGACTGGGTTAGACTCAATGAGAGACAGTAGAGTATTACCAGACTTTATAGAAAATTTAAGGTATTTTCAACAAGCACTTTCAGTTTTCACTTTATTCTCAGACTAACCTAACTTCTGCATGGAATGAGATGCCATTAAAGCATTATCAGGAAGACACATATGCTGTGAACTGTAACATTTAATGTTGAATTAACTGGGAATCTAAAAGTTAAATAATCTTACCCTCGGGGACCATCTGGAATGGCATTTGCTTTCCGGCATGTATCTAGGATGCTTGTCCCAGGGTCAAGGACTAATTCAGAAAATGAAGCTTCCCTAAACAACTCTCTTAGCTCTTGGTCAGACATGACCTCCAGGGCATCAATGCTGCTATGATAAAGGGCTTGTGTACACCTGAAAAACACATTTTGAGAGCCACATCACGTGAGTGCTTATCCAGACATGTTCTAATACCCGATAACCAACGATGGTGTACCCATTAGGTTCCAGACTGAAAGATTTTAAGACAGCAACATTTATCTTCTATAATTTATAAAAACTTAACTCAGAATAATCTTTCCAATAAATAGAGGCTTTTTAAAGCAATTAAGTCAAACAGTAACAATCTTATTAGTGGTAAAACAACCCCAAAACAGCATGGCTCCAAATTTTCGCAAGTCTATTAACTAGATAACTTTATCAAGTATTAATTATTCTAAAAGGCCACCTTTTAGCAGAATCCAGCCCCTCTTGTCCATGAACAAGCTTTGTTACTTCTGCAGCCAGTCGTTTCTGAGGACCCCGCTTCTCTGGCTCTTTGACATGCAGATGCATTATGTGGTCAATCTCTGGAAGGGGCAGAAAAGTGAAGAGCTTCAGGTACCTTCGGGACAAAAAAAGTGTTAGATTTATTTAGCATTCCTAATTTTTATCTCCAGCTCCCTTACCCTTTAAAGAACATCCTGCTTACTTACTTTAAAGAACATCCTGCTTACTTTATTTTTAATTATGAAACATAACAAACATGCAGGAATGTACTGAAAATAATACGACACCCATGCACATACCACCCAGATTGAAGATG